AATACATTTGCCATATACCTGATATATGTTAAAAATATTTTTACTATATTTTTTCAAATTGATAAGTTTCAGTAAAGGAATTTAAAATTAGCTAAAATAGAATTATATAATTTAAAATAAACAAAATCAATGTATTAATAAATTAATTAAAATGAATAAATAAATAAGTATTTTTTTAAAATATATATATTTCTTACATCAATTTCATAATTTTTCAAACTTTTTGCAAATTTTGAATTTGTAATAGATATAATAAGACCTTTTTTAATTTAGAAACATTGATTTTTTAATAAGATAAAAAATAGTAATATTAAAAACTTGAATTAAATCATTTTCATTAAGCCTAGTATATCTATCCAATAGTAGTTTTCATAAAATAATTACTTGTAATTTTTCTTTATATTTTAAAATATATAAAATTATAGATAATTGAGTTAACATATTGAATAATTTTTTTAAACTAAAAAATGTATTTTTAATATTTAAGAAAATATTTTATTTTAAATTTTTTTTTAATTTTAAAAATGAAAAAAATTCAACAAAATATATTTTACTTTTCTTTTTTTTAAAAAAAAAATTAGATTAATAATCTGTTTTTTAGATTTTTAAAAAAATTAGATTAATAATCCACTTTTTAGATTTTAAAAAAATCTTTTTAATTGTTTATTTGTTTATATAAAAATCATTTTATTTTTCATATAATTTAATATTGTTTATAATCTAAACATGAATATGTTATTGAAAACTAACACAAAAAAAGTAAAAAATTTATTTATTTTCAAAAAAAAAAAGAATAAATAATAAACAATCTAACAATTTTTTTCAAAGAATACAAAGATAAAAATACAATATAATATAATATATAATGTAACAAAAAAGCATACATATAAAAATATTGTGTAAAAAAATCTTCAAATAGAAAAAATAATTATAAATATACTATTATAAATAAAGATAGCACTGTATTTAAGAAGTTACATCTCAGTAAGTGCAAGACAATTCGAAAGAATATGCAGATGCATCATATATACCTCACCTTATAGCATCAGCACATAATGCAATTATAGATATTCTTAAAAAAGAGCTTCAAAGAAGGGATCAAATAAAATCAGTATTGGTCATATATGTTACATATGTATCATATGTATCATATGAGAGCTGATCTATTAAAAGTGAGTTACGAGATATAGTAAATCATATGATCTGTACCTCAATTTTAATAGAATACTACTCATATTCTTATAAAGGTTGCAACTTATTATAAATTTATTTTAATATAAAAATTCATAAATAGTTGCAATTAGTTAAAAATTTTAAAAATAATTATGAGAATCATCTTTAATCATAAATAAATTAAACAATATGAAAATAAAATTTGTATCACAAAAAAAAAAAAAAAAATAAATTATTAAATTAAAAAATGATTAAATGGGTGATATGCTATTAAAATTGAGGTACGAGACATATGATCTGTATCTCAATTTTAATAGATCACCACCCAAATGATTAAAAATATTACAAATAAAAAACCTTTTCAAAAATTGAATAAATTTATAAATGATAAAATTTAATATATAATAAAGAAGCAATAAATTAAAAAGTTAAAATACTAAATAAAATATAATAAAAGAAAAGTTTATAAATTTATATTTTAATAAAAATAAAAAGTAATTATAAAAATTATTTTAATTAATATAATATAAAAAAAATAAGAATACAAATAATAAAAATACAATACAATATAATATAAAATAACAAAAAAGCATAATATAACAAATATTATGTAAAATTTTTTTAAAAAAGAATAAATATAAATTAGTACAGTATACCATTACAAATAAGAAAAATAAGAAAAATAAAAGAAATAAAATTTTTTTCATGATCTCAAAATATAATTGTAACACAAAAACATAACCTATCAACAAATAAATTAATATAACATAAAAAATAAAATGAAACGAAATTATTTTTTTATAAAAATAATGATAATAAATACAAATAATCAATAAAACAAAAATTTCTGCAAAATTCAAACATATTATATAATATTCAAATTTAATGCATTCCAAAAATAACAAGAAATTTTAAATTACAAATTTATTTTAATGATAACATAAAAGCTTATAGTAATAGCAATAGCTATAGCTATTTAAACTATATAAACTTCAAATTAAATTTGCACAAGATGTATTATTGAAATTTGCCACATATATATAAAATAATGAAGATTTGTAACTATAAAAATTGAGAAAAAAAACTGAATAAATATAGAATAGATTATTAAAAATGTATCGCATCAAAGTGTTTCCAGTAAAATCACATTATGGATCATATGATTTACTATGCCTCATAACTTGATTTTATTGAAAACATTCTATTTTCTTTAAATATGATTTAGCTTAAAAAATTATGATAAATTTATTATTTTTGATGATAAATAGTAGCAGCAATCAAGAATATTTCATCAATTTATTTGAAGTTTATAATGCAACCAACAAATTCAACCTCTTACCTAAAAATAAACATTCCATTTTTCAGATAACAATAATAATTTACTTATTTTTAATATTATAATGCTATAATGATACTATATTATTTTTTATAAATAAAATTTTTAATAATATAAATATTTTTATAAAGTAAATTATTTTATTAAATAAATACATTAGAATTAATCAATTATAAATTAATTTGAATAATATAAATTATTATAAATTATTAATTATAATATTGCATTCTTTAAATTTGCAATATATGCGATAAAACATTATGAATTACAATATTTTTCTCAATTAAAAATTGTGTATACCATCTTTAATACAATTATTTTGTATTGAACTTTTTATAAATAATCAAATAAATTGCCTTAATATATCTGAAAGAGTTAGCTTTACAATTTTAATTTTCATTTTACTCACAATATATATTAATAAAAAAAATAAATTAATATAACTTTTATAAATACTCATGCTGCTAAAGATCGATTCAATGTTACATTCATTATAGCTTGTAAATACAACAGTATATTTTTTATCGTGATGATTTGCGATTCTCTTAAAGCTACATAAGAATAATTATATGTTTCTTTAATAGCAGACGATTTGATATCTTTATTGCATATTTCAAAAAGTAAAGCACTTTCTAGCTTATCTTTTAATTTGTTTATAAAGAAAGCGTTGTTTTTTGAATATAAAAGTTCGAAAGACTTTTTATTTAAATTTAGTATTTTTTATCTTTGTAGATTATTAAGATTTATTATTATTAAATTTTATGATAATGATAAGAATATAAATTATACCCTGTCATCACGTATTTCGTTTTTTACTATTCATATTTTATCCTTTATATAGTATATGACATTTTTAAAGGCACATTGATAATGCATATACTTATAATTTTGCGATTTGGGCGTAACCAAAAAAATGTCTGTCAATATGATGCAAAAATGGCGCAGTAACATATACACAGAACGAGTAATATGATGTAATTATGAAATAATATAATATGTGTAAGTTAAACGTCATTTTTAAAGGCAACAAATTTTTTTTTTTTATAAAAAACCCCCTTTTATCTTGATATTAATTTTTTTTATACCGGTGATCCACTCATAGACTTATATTTGAAAAAATGGGATCTGGTGGATCTTTGACGTTAGCTAGCGGAAGAATGTTTATGATTTTCGCAAATACTTTGACTACGGTAAGTGTAAATAACGATGAGCAATTTAAAATAAAGAAAATTCGTGTAATATTTTTACCTTTATATAATAAAGATTGCTGGATTAATTCTTATTGGATTGGGTCTATATGGAGTTTTTTCGTCAGAAATTCGATTATATTCTAGTGAGATTCCAATTGCAACAATTGTGCTCGGGTTCCTTGTATTGTTAATCTCGATCACTGGATGTTGTGGAGCAATCGCTGAAAATAGACCCATATTGGTGACTGTATCCTTTACAAGTTTTATTTGTTCTCACGTGTTTAAAATTATTATCTCACATCGTTTCTAGTATTTTATCATGCTTTTAATTTTGGTTATAGCGCAAATCATATTTGCGGCCGTTATATTGGCTGATAGAGCAAATGTAAATAAATCGTAATGAAAATATTCGTAAACTTATTGTTTAACGAATTATAAAATATTTTTATAGGTGGAAGACATACTTAATAATGCATGGCAGAAGGCTTATGATGACCATCCGAGCATTATTCGTGATGTCGAAGATGAATATTCATGCTGTGGATTTAGGAATGTCACTGACCGTGCCGTCCCCAAGTCATCACCTGACGCATGCGTTAATAGTCCTTGGTTTGGTTATGATAGACCTTGTTTAGATAATCTTTCTCGTGCTTACAGAAGCCATCATACTATGCTTGGTGTTTGGGGTATAATTTTGGCGATTATTCAGGTTAGAGATAAGAATGAACTATATAAAATCGAAATTTATTAATGAAATATATAACGATAATGTTATATAATATTATTATTTAGATTTTGGCCCTTATTTCCTCATACATTCTTATCGCATTTTTGCCTAACGCTAGAGAGCGCGAAAATCAATATTTATCTGAGCATGATCGCATTGTTCGTGGGCATGGAGGAGCCGGTGGGAAAACTCTTAGACCCCATGAAATTGGTCAACAATCCAGTTCAGTATACGGAAGTACATAAAAGGAGAGTAGGTGTTATAAATTAAAAAAAAAAAATTTACATTTTCCAATATTAGGCGACACTACCCGCTACTTTTTTTTTTGAGAATTTTTTAATGTTTGAATAAAATTAATTTTATTTCCCCGGAAATCTTTTGCGTGAGCTTACTTGTGAGGTATCAAGTGTTTTTTATTCTGAAATTAAAACAGTTTAACGATTCATTTTTACACAGCAAAGAAAGCTGAAAATTATTATTGAGAAATTGAGAAATAATTACATATCTGTTATTCGAAGATTTACCGGACAAGGCATTGCGCAATTAAGGTGGGAATACTTATTTCGCTCGGTTGTGTACAAGGAAGCGTCTTCAGAGTTGTAAACTAATACCTCGCTAATAACTTTTCATTCCAGGGTTTGGAGGATCTCTTTAGCATCATGAAGGCATAAATGAAAATGGAATAATGTTCAGCGATGAAAAAACAGAGGGTTCGAAAAATAATCATCCATAAGGCGCTTCGCATGTATTTTAGTCCGCAGACATTAGTATAGACGTCTTGTATCCCGCATCATATAATTTGTTTTAGCTCAATGTATTGCAAATAAAAAAAAACGTTTAGGGTATACTAAGTGACCTGAGCAATGTAGTCAAATATTTTTTCTCGTGGCGATTGATGACAATATTTTAGATTATATACTATTATTTTTGATGTACACAGGGTAATTTCGAGATCAGCAAATTAATAGACATTAGACTTTTGTCTATGGCATCTATCTGGCATTTAGAGCGCGTTTTCCCATGCAACTCCACAAAAATTTATTTTATTTTTTATATCATACGAAAATTACTTTATTCATTGTGAAAATTTTTACAAAATAATAAAAACATATTTTAACACTATAAAAAGAATCTTATATCGTTTATAACTTTATGTCTTACTTTCGAACCCATCCACGATGGATTCTACAAGAATGTGGATATGATCAAAAATAGGATCTCAGAGAAATAATCACTAATTTTATCCTCCAATTTCATATCCTTATACAATTTTGTCTCATAATCTATCGCATGCAAATTAAAAGCAACATCCTTAAATTTCCCTGTTAAATGCATTCGAATTTGAGCTTGTAATGCACTGACTAGTTTATCGGCTTTTATAAAAGTCACCATTTTCTGGCACCGATCATATCCGAACAATTCGCTAGTAGGAATAACAAAGAAAGAAAGGTTTATTGATTTCTCCATTTCCTTTCTATTTTTTAGAAAAATTTTGTTAATATTTATGCGTTTCGCCTAAAAACATTTATTCATATAATCAATATCTATCTAATCCTTCGATCTTTTTTTCTTAGAACAAATATTGCTTATTTTTTCTTTATACAGAATAAATCAGGGGTTAGTATATTGGAAAAATACATCATGATATGTATTATTTTTCAGGTGAATAATATAGCCATATTATAGAAACTTCGTGATTAGTAAAGAATTATTCCAGTCTATCAGGCATATGCTATTCAAACTGATTGTCCCTTATTATCAGCCTATTAATTTAACAAATTATGACATATCAGGAAAACCCCAAAGATCCACAAACTGATTTACATGCATGTGAATACTATAAATCGTAAATTGCTATAAACTCTTTATATCCATAAAATGGTTAGAACTAACTACTATTCTGGTTTAAATCCTGTAGTAGTGCAGGTGTTAAATAATCTGCAATATAGCTATAATAATAAAACACCAGAAATGTGGTGTTCTTGTGTTCGTTATCCATTTAAGACACTTCTTAAAAATAATCCAAAATACTTTTCCAAGAATGGATTTATCCATATGACTGAAAGGTTTTATAAAGATGGAGAATTTAAAGCTAGAAGGTGTTTATTTTATATTTATTGCACTGTATGTAACTTCTTAGTATTTATTCATGAAAATACTATAGAATGTGCAAATGATCATCTAAATAAATGTATTGCTAAAACAGCTGAAAGGTGTATAGCATCTTTTAATCCTATACGAACAAATACAAAAAATGTGAAAAAAGTATCATCACTTAGTTTTGATAGATTACTGGAATTTTTATAAATTATTCTGTATATTTACAGTGTGATTTTTATACATATAATACGAATTATAAATTTAGACAAAGAATTGCTTATTCTATATTTAACAGTGCAAAAATTATCTAATGGGCTTGAAGAACTTTCAAGTTAATACCTGAAACATAGGCAAAATGAGTTTAGAATATAGTAAGAAATAGTCGCCGGAGGTTATTTGATATAATTATATCAAATAACCTCTGGCGACTTGAGTTAGGTTATGACGGTGGTGACATATTCTAATGGTGTCGATATAATCTAATGGTGGTGACATAATCT